GGTCTGGAATTCCTGAGGACTGGCCTTAGTAGTGAAGACTGAAGCAAAGGCAGCATTCAGTAACTCTGCCTTCTCCGTATCCTTCGTTACCAGGGCACCCACCCTGTTCAGCAGCAGGCCGACATTTTCCCTAGTCTTCCTTTTGCTATTGATGTAGTTGAAGAACCCCTTCTTGTTGTCCTTGACATCCCTTGCCAGATTTAATTCCAAACGGGCCTTAGCCTTCCTTGTCGCATCCCTGCACACTCTGACAACGTCCCTGTATTCCTCCCAAGTGGCCTGTCCCCTTTTCCACATTCTGTAGACTTCCTTCTTCTGTTGGAGTTTTGCCAGCAGTTCCTTGCTCATCCATGCGGGTCTCCTGCCCGCTTTGCTGGACTTCTTACTCAGAGGGATGCACCGATCTTGAGCCTGGAGGAGGTGATACTTGGATATTAACCAGCTTTCTTGGACCCCTCTTCCTTCTAGGGCCCTACCCCATGAGATTCCCCTAAGTAGGTCCCTGGAGAGGCCAAAGTTAGCTCTCCTGAAGTCCAGGGTTGCGATCCTACTCATTGCCCTGCTCCCTCCTCGAAGGATCCTGAACTCCACCATCATTCATGGTCGCTGCCCCCAACCTTCACGTCTCCAACTAGACCTTGTTTGTTTGTTAGTACAAGGTCTAGCAGCGCACCTCTCCTCCTTGGTGTCTCCACCACCTGGGTCAAGAAATTAGCATCAATGCTTTGCAGGAACCTCCTGGACTGCTTGTGCCTATAATGTGTAATGCCAATAGATCCCAGACAAATTGAATTTTTATGTCAGCGAGTTAATTCACATGTGTGAATACTTCTGTTTAAATGCAATAGTACTCTTCTTATAATAATGTTATTTGTGTGTATACATGTTTACAGGACTCATGCCTAGACCCACTCTAGCTTTAGACTCTCGTCACTGACAGCAGAACACAGATCTTTGTATTTGTTTCCTCTTTCCAACCTGTTATGTTATTTGTTCCTTATTTTTTGATGCTCGATTTCATTTCACTGCTAACTACAAATACCTATTTATCAGTGTAAGTGTAAGTTATTTGAACGGCAGCCAACAAAGAACACAGAGTCAATAGTAATGATTCATGGTATTTTTTGCAGAATTTTTGTAAATGTTCAAAGCCCATAGAGGCAAGAAACTGATTCTCATCCCTGTGAAATCGAAATAACACTCACCCCTCTACGTTACAGAATGTAAAGCTGAGAAATTATACCAAAGTGATTTAGTCAAAACTAAAGACTTTCCTTCTCTCAGAGATGTAGCGCTGTGTAATTCAGCTGAATTGTTGTTGCCT